GAATGTTACATGAAATAACTGTATGAGTATACAGTCAACTATTTGTGTGCACAGATATTGCAGTTGTTGAATGTAAGGTGTGAACAACCCAATTGGAAATAGTTTTGGCCAACTGTTGCTCTTTTCAAAACAACAACACTATACATTTCAGCATGCAAAATCAGCTGGGACTGTGTCCTGTTCCAAAAAGCTCACAGAATGGGGCATGAGCAAATCCCCCTAAGCCTTCCCCTGCCACGCCCTTCCTTCTTTGTGACAGCTTTGGCTCATGAGACTAGGCTATAAAACAGAGTGCCCTAGATTACTGTTGTTTGGAGAGAGAGAGACAGAGAGAGAGAGAGGAAAGAAAGCATTTAATTTGCATACTGTATGCAGTTCACATCACTTTCTATAGAGCTGAACCAACCTAAGGAATTCCTTTTAAATTTGCTCCAAAAAAACCCCTTCCTATTCCCTGTGGAATAAATGCCTTATCTATTTTCAGAAAATGCTGACTTCATTTCAAATAAAAGGGACTTACATCCAAATGCAAGTGATGCCAGAGAGAGCATCACTTTATACAATACGCAAAGCTTTAAAGTATTTACAGACCACCCTGCATATCAACGTCAATGAACTCAATGAGGATGCATATTTTAGTGCTTTGATGTTTTACACAAACAGAAAAGCTACAGGGAGGGGGAAATATGCCCACGAACTAATGGCCCTCTAGCCATATATGGTAGCTGTGCAAGGTATATCTTTGACCTTTCCACGAGTAAACAAGAGGCACAGAATGCCACTGCTGATATTCCATGAGCCAGTTCATACTGAAAACAAAGTGAGCCTTTGGAAGCTTCACACTGATGCTGCCTGCGATGCTTCTTCCTCTTGGCACGCCACAGTATCTACTTTCCAGCGAATAAACCTATGGCCAGAATCCAACACAGACATTCATTTCAGCAGACTTAACTCTTTTGTTTGTTGATTATGGCCTGCAGGACAGGTGAACTTTTCATTAGACAAATGAGTTCTTTAAAACAATGCAAGTGTTGGAACTCAGGTCTTCAACTTAAGACAAGGCATTCAGAAGAATTAAAGCTGCAGTCCTATATATTCTTACCTGGGAATAAGTCCCATTGAACCCAATATGCATTTAACCAAGTAGACATGCACAGATTTGTGAGGTTAAAATATCTCTTGTTGGTGGCTACAACCCATTTAGCTCTGCTACACCTGTATTCTAAGAGAAATGGTCTCACAGCCATATAGGATATGAAGACTTAGCTGCCTAGAGAATTTGAGGAGGCAGGCTCCAGCAAAATTTGAATGCTGATCCTTTGACTGCCTTGGTAGTTGTAAGGCGTCCGGGCCAAAGTCGTCAAGGTACCCTATTTTTTGCCTGTATTTAGTTTCTAAACTGGGGTCGTCAGGACCTAACCTTGCGTTTAGGTCGCCTACAGCAGGACCTTTGCTCCCGGATAGTCTGTTAGCAGTAACCTGACATAAGAGTCCAGTCTATTCCTTTTTGCTTGTTGGGGGGATATAAGCATTGATAATTAGTAAACTGCAGTTTCTCCAGGATATGAGTAGGGCCATTGCTAGGTGCTCTAGGGGGGACAGTTCCTTACAGGTGGCATTTAGGCAGAGTGAAATTAGGATGCATAACCCCCCCTTGAGCCTCCATGGTCCTCTGCCTGCAACTGCTCTCACTGCATATGTATAGTATCCTTCCAGTGATGGATTTTCAGCCACCCACGTCTCCTGGAGAGCGATGATATTAAAGTTTTGACGGTAGAAGGGAATGTCTGTAGAATGGGAGAGGCATCTGGACCAGCCAGCAACATTCCAGGAGATGGTGTTTAGGGCAGTAGTTGATTCTTGGGTTTTTAGATTCCAGGCTCTCATCGCTGTTTTCTGCTGCTGATTCCTCGGGTCCTTTGGGTTTGGCTTGATTGAGTCGCGATGCGGAGGAATGGGGGAGCCTTTTGAGGGAAAGACTAATTTGGGGGTATTAATTTGTCTGTCCAGGCAGTCACCCACTAAGACCTTATTTCATTCCTCTGCATGAATAGCTTCTAGGATTCCCCGGCAGTCCATGAAGATTGAGGATGTGAGGGCGATCTGGCTGCGACATCTGTCACCCCATTGATCGTCAGGGTTAATTCGGCTGATCTGGCTGGCTAGGCGGGTGTCCCCTTCCTCCCTCACCGCTCCATGTGCGTCCCTCCCGAAGCTGCGCGCTCGGTGGAAGAGGACGACCATCCCAGATAGAAGGAGTGTACCGTTCTTCGGTCAAGGGTATACGATAGCTGCGCTCCCCTGCTAGAACCTCCAAACAAGCTCAAGGTCCATTTGTAGGAGAACGTAGGGTAGTCAAGCTTCCAAGACTCACAGCCATATAGTTAAAAAAGAAACTGCTATGCCAGAGTGATGGAGAATGGATTGGCTTGGATTTTGCATCAGCCATACCCTGAGTTGTCAATACATGAAAATGGGCATGCAGGCTGCACAGCTGAGTTACTGTCACAGAGCAGCCATCAAAGGCAGGGGACTGCTTCATGACAATTCAAGCTCATGTTGGTCTCCCAGGATGACTGTGTAGGCACACAATGAAAGCACCTGCACTTCCCAGCAAACCCTCTCTGCCACCATCAATATGTAAGCCAGCCTTTGCCAACCTGGTGTCCGCAGTGCTTACTGGGGCTGATGGGAGTTGTAGTCCAAAACATCTGGAGGCACCAGCTTGGTGAAGGCTGATATTGGCAACTAGAATATTAGCAAGCCCACACCACTCCTGAGTTGCTGTTTCGTATCAGCAGCTGAGTGGTGAAGGCCCTCTTCCCTGCAAGTGCATCATTACTTTCTTCACAATACGGATCTACACAAGAGCTACACAGAACCCCAACCCCATCTATCCTAATGAAAAAAGCATGTGCAGGAACACAAGCAGACAATTAACCACACTATGGGATGTGGTTGCAGGATCAGTTCTGTGTATGGCCACCAATGGTTTCTTCTGGCCACATTATAACAACTATTTCTTACATTATTTTATCCCTCCCTTCCAAGGAGGTCGTGCTTGTATATGACTCCGCACCTTTTATCCTCACAATAATCCTGAGAGGTGGATTGGCTTGGGAGATAGTGATTGGCCTATCCGGAGAGGATTCCCCCAGTTGTGTGGGTGGGTTCTGCACCTGAATGCTCATTTAATTTCTTGCATTTCAAAAATTAATTTCGGAATTGTATTCCATCAGGCTGCAGCAGATGAAGATGGAAAGCAGGGCTATTCCATTTCTATTGGCTCTGTTGAAATGGTATTTCCATTTGGCTCCTCTCTCTGAACTGTTTCCATCATTTATTCGGTTTACTTACTTACAATATTTAGAGGCCACCTTTAAGAGTTTAAATCTTAAAGTAATTTTAAGATTTAAACTCTTAAGTAATTTTAAGAATTTTAAGAACTAGTACCTGAATTTTTGTTCCTCCCCCACTCTTCCCTTCCCCCCTTGAAGTTACCCATCTACCGTTAGCACCACAACAGCAGACTGAGCAGGCACACAGGTCATCTGGTCACAGTCTTCCCTACTATGATGACCTTAACTGTATAACTACCATATTTTTCGCTCTATAGGATGCACCGGACCACAAGACGCACCTAGTTTTAGAGGGGGAGAACAAGAAAAAAAAATCTCTCCCTCTCTGCACAGCACTCCTTCAGCGAAGTGGCAGGAAAAATGGAGCACCTCTCCAGCAAAGCGAAGCCAGGAGAGCAAGAGGGATCGCTGTGCTCCGGCGGCTTTGTGTTGCTTTCGCTGAAGCCATGGAGCCTACATTCACTCCATAAGACGCACACACATTTCCCCTTAATTTTTGGAGGGGAAAAAGTGCGTCTTATAGAGCGAAAAATACGATACTTAACCAAAGCAGGGGTAGGGAACCCGTGGCTAGCCAAATGTTGTGGGACTCCAATTCCCATCAACCCCAGCCAGCATAGCCCATAGCCAAGGATGGTGTAAGTTGTAGTCCAAAAATATATGGAGAGCCATGGGTTCCTCACCCATAAATTATAGGGATTTTAAAAAATGCACCCATACATATAAATTAGCATATCAAAGCAAAATTATAACCACGGCTACTCAGAAGTAAGTCCTATTGAATTCAGTCAGATGCATTCCCTGATAAGTGGGGCTGGGATTGCAGCCTCAGTGATAAAGGAAACCAAAAGGATTTAACTGTAGCAAAAGCCACAACTACATCAAATTTTGGTGTGTTGCCATTACTGACTTTAAATTTCCAAGCCCAGACATTGCATGATGCAAGGTACTTAAAGATATTTATTTAAAAGTATACATTTACTACAAGAGAGTCATACTTAAATCACATCAGTGTCAAACATAGTTTTACATTGCACCAAAGCAAATGAATAAAGCTAAAAGACAAAAGCTGTTCTGCCAGCTCTGAAGGTCTATGATACCAATTTATTTTTAGATTTATAGCCTGTCCTTAAGTATGGGGTGATAACATCTCCATTGCTTATTTATACCCACAACCTGGTGAGGTAAGACATTATTGTTCCCACTTTAGAGATGCACAACTGAGGCTGAGAGAAAACAACTTGCTTCAGGTCCTCAGTTAACATGCTTGAGCTGAGTGTCAGATTCACCTCTTTCCAGCCTACACCTAACACTCTGCTTGTGTTGGGTCAGAAGAAGGGCATTTATCTACTTCCCCTTTTGCTTGAAAATCCACATAGGACAATTTTTACCCCAATACATTAACGGTCGCTGAGACAATAAAGCACACCAATGGTGGTGGTGGTGGGAATCCCAATAAATCTTTGTGGAATCTTTTTCTGTCCCAGGTGCTTATTGTTTTCAGAAAGAAAACCATATATTATAAGGGCTAGGTGGTAATTCTGCGTCTATATAAATTTGGCACTGAAAAGTACACCGGGTAGATTTTATTGTTAACTCCAGTGGTCTTGCCTTAGCGGAAAGTGCATGCTCTTGTGCAGAGCCTGGGTAGCTTAGCTGGTTAGAGTGTGGTGCTGATAATACCAATGTTGTAGGTTTGATTCCCGTATGAGACAGCTGTACTGTATATTCCTGCACTTCAGGGGGTTGGACTAGATGATCCACAGTCAGGGCATCTGATTTTTGCTGAAACTTGTTACCGATTGCAGTCTTAGGCACTGTATCTCAACCGATTCCAGAGGGTTCCCCAAAATTTAGAAAGTGTTTTTGGATATGAGGGATTAGTGAGAATCAGGGATCCCAACCTGCGAGAAGGGCTTTTTACAGAGGCAAATCCCTCACTTGATGCAACCCAATATCTCTTCTTTCAGACATTCCTTTTGCATTATGTTGAGACAGCAGTGGCAGGTAAACCTCCATATGAAACATAACCACTGATAGCAAACAAATACCTGCAGATATGTGTGTGCGTGTGTGCGCCCTCTATATGCTTGTGTTATAACAAGCAAGAGCTTAAGACATGGCATTTCCTTTATATTTAATGGCCAGCTGGGGTTAATGGCCAAAAGCTACACTTCAGGCCAAGTACTGCTCCCAACTGGTCATTAATCCCCAGGAAATGCTCTGCATCTCAATCATTATTGCTTAATTTCAGGGCAAACAAACTACTGTGACTGAGAGTATGCCATCCGTTAAACACAGGGAGCAAACATTCCGCGAATGTAATCAGCTGTTTACACAACTGTCTGTTGTCTATAATAGCAAGAATTTCAGATACATGAAGCCTTGGGTGCCACTGAGCTCTGTTCTGGTTACTGCCCATTAAAACAAGCAGCAGCTGAACTATAGAAATGCTTAGAGGTGGGTGGGATCATGCCTTTTCTGGCTTATTCCATGAATAAGTTTGTTAGTACAGTGTCAGTTAAAATGCATGTTTTTAAAGTTTAAAGTTTCTCTTTGCTCTGATATTGCCAAATTGTGTAAAATATTTTCTTCTGCTCCTTCCTTTTGAGGAGTTCTCTTCATAAGATATTTTAACAAAGGAGCCAGCAATACCCCGGTTCACAAGCCGCATGTGGCTGATTATGATGTAATTGTGCAATCCCTGATTTCAAGCTAGAATTCTGAATGTCCCAGCTCTTTTTTGTAGAGACCTAGGACTCCGAGTATATTTGACCTATTTGTTCCATTAGGTATTTCCACTGCATCCTTCAGAGAGAGGAAGACTATCATTCTCAATATATAGATTTAAGTTATACATTTTGGAATTACAAACATCATTCACACACCTCATCTTTGCCAGCTAACTTCTAAATGCAACATCATTTCACACATTCCAACATTTACAATACAAATTTCAGACATGCCACAGATTTATTAAATTATCAGCAGTAAAATATACTGTGGGTTCTTCCCAGGCTTTTGCTTTACAAATATTTACTAGAACATAGACTTTGTTATATATCTGAGGTTTCTCAGTAATCCTCTGATTGGAGACCCACATGCCTGGGGGGGTCCAAAGAAAAACTGTAAATGGATGTAATAGTTTGAGATATCTTAATATTATAACACTGCACACTTTTAAAAGCCAAACTTCACTGAGTTTAAAAATGCACCCACACACATACTAGGGGCCTTAATAAATGACTTCTTGGGAAATCTTTAATTTCTGAAACATTTAGAAACACTTGAAAAAACACGTAAACGTAATAGGCTGTATAATAACAATTGTAAAGTTATTTACTAGAAACTACTTCTCAAAATTAGATACAGCTTCTCCTAATGTCAAAATAATGTCAAAATCAAACACTGCATTGCATCCGGACTATGTTAGTTGCACCTTGACCCCTATCCAGTGTGAGCGGCCATCTTTTTTTCATGAAAAATGTCCCTTGCAGTGATGTCACTTCACCATGCAGTATCATTCACATTGGATCATTCTGAGGCACAGCACTGGGCAGGTTCTTCTTATTGCAGCTCCAGCACTGCTTGAAGCAGCAGCCAAAATTTATCAAGCCCTGAAGTTTTAACCCCCTGCCAAACCAACAAAAAAGCACTGAGCAGAAACTAGACCAGGTTGGGCAGCCAAGGAAGTACTTCCTTATTTTTAAAAATAAAACTATATCCTGTTTATGCCATTTATCTGAAATTTCCAGGGTCTCTGAAGAGCTCACTTTAATCCTATTATGACATCTATTTCCAGTACAGGTCATATGTGGGGCATGGTGTGGACTAGGTGGAATGGCTGCAAAACTGCTGGTGATCTTATGGCTGGTTTGGACATGATGCTAATCATAGTGGAAAATCACGAGAATGAGCCTCAGCAAGTACTGGGCTCCTCCTCCTATCCAGAACAGCTGCAACGAGAACTTACAGGATCACAGAATTATAGAGTTGGAAAGGGCTCTGAGGGTCATCTAGCCCAACCCCTTGCAATGCAGGATTCTCAACTAAAGCATCCACAACAGATAGCCATACAACTTCTGATTAAAAACCTCCAAGGGAGGAGAGTCCACTACCTCCTGAGGGAGTTCATCCCACTGTCAAACATCTCTTATTGTCAGAATGTTCTTCCTGATGTTTACTCAGAATCTCCTTTCTTGTAACTTGAAGCCATTGGTTTGAGTCGTGCCCTCTGGAGAAGGAAAAAAACAAGCTTGCTCCATCTTCCATGTGACAGTCCTTTAGATATTTGAAGTTGGCTATCATATCTCCTCCCAATCTCCTTTGTTCCAGGCTAAACATACGCAACTCCCTCAATTGTTTCTCAAAAGACTTGGTTTCCAGGCCCTGGTTATATAATAATAATAATAATAATAATAATAATAATAATAATAATAATTTATTATTTATACCCCGCCCATCTGGCTGGGCTTCCCCAGTCACTCTGGGCGGCTTCCAAAAAATATATATTAAAACACTGCAATACATCAAACATTAAAAGCTTCCCTAAACAGGGCTGCCTTCAGATGTCTTCTAAAAGTCTGGTAGTTGTTGTTCTCTTTGACATCTGATGGGAGGGCATTCCATAGGGAGGGCGCCACTACCGAAAAGGCCCTCTGCCTGGTTCCCTGTAACTTGGCTTCTCAAAGTGAGGGAACCGCCAGAAGGCCCTCAGTGCTGGACCTCAGTGTCTGGGTAGAACCATGGGGGTGGAGACGCTCCTTCAGATATACTGGACCGAGGCCGTTTAGGGCTTTAATGGTCAGCACCAACACTTTGAATTGTGCTCGGAAACGTACTGGGAGCCAATGTAGGTCTTTCAAGACCGGTGTTATATGGTCTCGGCGGCCGCTCCCAGTCACCAGTCTAGCTGCCGCATTCTGGATTAGTTGTAGTTTCCGGGTCACCTTCAAAGGTAGCCCCACGTAGAGCGCATTGCAGTAGTCCAAGCGGGAGATAACCAGAGCATGCACCACTCTGGCGAGGCAGTCCACAGGCAGATAGGGTCTCAGCCTGCGTACCAGATGGAGTTGGTAAACAGCTGCCCTGGACACAGATTATCTTGGCCGTCGTCGTCCCCCACATGTTCCGACTTGTGAACATCCTTCTTAAATTGTGGCACACAGAACTGGACACAGTACTTCAGGTGTGGCCTGACCAAGGCAGAGTAGAGTGGGACTATTACTTCCCTTGAACTAGACACTATACCTAGAATAACATTAGGGTTTTTTGCTGCTGCATCACACTGTTGACTCATATTAAGCCTATAGTCTACTAAGACCCCTAAATTCTTTTCACATGTACTACTGGCAAGTCAGTGTCCCTCGTCTTACATCTGTGCATCTGGTTCTTTCTGCCTAAGTGTAGAACCTTATATTTATTCCTACTGAAATTCATAGTGTCAGTTTTGGTCCAGTTCTCCAATCTGTCAGGGTCATCTTGAATCCCAATTCTGTTTCCCAATTTAGTGTCATCTGCAAATTTGAGGAGCAATTCCTCAATTCATTCATCCAAATCATTTATAAAGATGTTGAACAACAGCGGGTCCGGGACAGAACCCTGCAGCACCCCACTTGGTACTTATTCCAGGATGACAAGAAACCATTAGTTAGCACACTTTGGGTTGGGTCAGTCAACCAGCTACAAATCCACCTAATACTTACTTCATCCCACCCACATTTTACCTGCTTCTCCACAAGAATATCATGGAGTACTTTGTCAAAAGCTTTACTGAAATCAAGATATACTTTGCCTACAGCATCCCCCTGATCTACCAAACTTGTAACTTTACCAAAAAGAGAAATTAGATTTGCTTGGCATCACTTGCTTTTGAGAAACCCATGCTGGGTTTTAGCCATCACAGCATCCTTTTCTAAGTACTCACAGACCAACTGTGTAATTATCTGTTCTTGGACCTTTCCTGGTATTGACGTCAAGCTGACCTAACAGTAGCTGCCTGGGTCTTCTCCCTCCCCTCCCCCTGTCACCTTTTTGAAGATGGGGACATCTGCAGGGACCTCCAATAATTCTCAAATACTCTGAGATTACATCAGTAAGGTGCTTTAGTACTCTTGAGTGCAGCTCATATTTGAATTCCTTTGAAGTCACTAGGTGTTCCCTTATCACCTTTTTTCACATCTTGGGCTGCAGCTCCCTCCTTGCATTGCTTGTTCTGTTATCACCAGGTTGGGCTCTGCTTTCCTTTTGGGTGAAGACAGAGGCAAAGTGGGCATTGAGCAGTTCTGTCTCATCATATACATTGATGACGCTATATAAATGATCTGCATGGTATGTGCCATATAACACTAATTCGAGTTAATCCAAATCCATACACAAGTATGCAGAAGGCATGAGCTGCTAACTCTGTAAAAATGCAGAGCCCTGTCATGCATGACACTGGCATGTATGCAGATCAATGAGGGTACAGCAGTCCATGCTTCAAATAGTCAATTTTACATCTGGTATATGACCTTTGGATGACCAGCAAAATATGGAGGAAAAGGCTCCACCAGTCCCCATTTATGATGTCTTCTGGAATCTGTGGTATTTTCCCATAAGGTCCTCTACTAAATTTTAAGAGGAATTCACAATGCATAGAGAATTCCTTTCCTGCCTAGGATGCTTGCTAAGCAAAACAAACCAACAACAACAAAATCCCTCAGGCAGCAATCCC